TCTTATCATCCATTGCTCCATATATATTCATCGTAGCCAGACGGGCCTCCGCAATCCACTTTTCGCTCCTCCGGGAGACAGGACGTAACGGGTGGCGAACCTCGTCGCCGGTTTTTCTACCGGGGATCCTTCGCACCCCTGCTCCATTAAAGGGGCGCTGGGAACTCGGGGCCATTTCTTTTAATTGTTGACTCATAGTGCAAACTAAGGGGTGGTAGATTTTACGCCGCTACCATACGGCGAGGAGCCGAGTCTATTGTTTCGGCTTTGTCGCTCGTTTAGCACAACCAGGGAGACACGTGTAGGGTGGGCCTAGGGTTAGGTGGTCGAAGCCTACGGACGCGAGCGACTCATCACCCGGCCATATAGTTCAAAGAACTGACACACGATGGCGAAAAAAGGTTTTCGAGTGGCAACCTCGTACCGGTAGCGAAGTGTAGGGTGACCAGCCACTAGATGGAGTGACGTGGCACGTGGCTCAGGACCGTACTTTGTGCTATTTCTTGGGGTAAGCCTTTGTTCAGTAGTGAAATTGTGAAGAGCTGTAATGATGATGAATGAAATGAAGTTTGTGCGTTTACCGCTAAAAGAAACCCCTTTGTCGCATCACGTCAGTTTCAAGGCACTCCACTTGTTACCCCAGCCAGTATCGGAATCCTCGGTGTCGACGTGCAGTTTCGTGGTCACTTGAGAGAAGGCCAATTGGCCTCTAAAAAGCTTGGCGTGCTTAGCAAAACGGACAGTATTTCATGCCGGCACATCGCCTGCAACTTTACTAGCGCAGGTTCGGCCACATATAGAATACTGTTCCCATCTCTGGGCAGGGGCTCTCCAGTGTCAGCTCCTTCAACTTGATCGCATCCAGCGCAGAGCGCTTCGAATCGTCGACGACCGAGTTCTTTCCGATCGGCTTGACTTACTGTCACTGCGTAGAGATTTTGCATCTCTTTGCGTATTTTATCGCATGTACCACGGCGAGTGCTCTGAGGAATTGTTCAAACTAATTCCAGCCGGTCAATTTCACCACCGCACATCGCGACAAAACTCGCGATACCATCCATACCATCTGGATGATTGGTGGCCCACCACTGTGCGATTTAGAAGATGTTTACTGCCTCGCACAACTTCCTTGTGGAATCGATTACCACCAGCGACTTTCCGGACTGATACGACTTAGGGACCTTCAAGAAAAGAGCGTACTCCTTTTCCGGCTCCGTGGCGCAGTGGCTTAGCAATGAGTTGTTGCACCGGGGGCCGCGGGTTCGAATCCCGCACGGAACAAGTATTAGTATGGCCTACAAATAATTGTTCCGGGTCTGGATGATTGTCCTCGTGCAATGTATGTTTGTAAACTGCCTCCACGATACAGGAGAAAATCCTAGTGTGGGGGTAACGTTTTTTATATAATAATAATAATAATAATAATAAAATGCGGGCAACGAATCTGCAATTCCCCTGGTGTTGTAGTTGTTCATGGGCGGCGGTAGTCACTTACCATCAGGTGAGCCGCATGTTCGTTTGCCACCTCTACTATAAAAAAACAACCGATGAATGTACATTTTTCATTATGGTACATAAATGGCGAAGTTTTTACAGACCGTTAGATACAAAACTTGTACTATGCGATTACATAGTAAAAGCGTGCTGAATATTGCACAACTTTATATGAAAATACTATGGCAAAAATTTAAAAAATTACCAGACTATTTGAGCCGATGGGGTCATTGGGAACTTACATCCAATTAGACTTCGTCAGCCAGCCGTTGTTTTACTCGTGTTGTCCCGAATCTAACAATAATGAAATTAAACGCGGCACATACCTTTGTTTTCTTCTCTGCCTCCGATAAGCTTGTCCATTCCCTGCACATATTCTGATATACCACCTGCCAAAGCCGTGCCTTAATGTTTCTGTATTGATTCAACAATTTTTCATATAATGCGAGCCTATTTCTAATTCAATAATAATGTTTCTAGGCACATTATCGTAGTCTACATACGTTATGTCTGAGTGGGCCATAAGACATAGCCTCTTTACATTAGCTTCGCGAATCACGACTATCCTCTGCGCTCGCGATTGACATACGTTTCACAACATGAATGAAAATCAATATTAAATTTGCAAATTTTCTTTTGAACTATCTCTTACAAAAAATAACTTTTTATAGAATAAGGGTGACAAGCGAGCATACGGTTGACCTGTCATGCTAGCATGGGCAGTTAGTTTTATCCAACCTTCGAGCATGGGCACACCGGTGGATAAATGTCTACTCGTTATGTCAAACGGGAATATACATCTCCTTTCCTCCATTGTCGTGATTTGGCATAAGGACAAGATAATTTTATCTCTTGTCAGTGGATATAATCGGAGGATAAATTTGTTTCCCCAGCCTATGCTAGCCGTGTTGGTAGTAAGTGAAAGCCGTGGCCAACTCTCGTGACACACAACACATCTACATGGATCCTCGATTACGATTCAAAATGATAATGCGTAGTTACCACTGCGGAATACACTTTTAGAGTTTATAAAACGATATAAACTCTACACATTGAACTGCGATTTTACGCCGCGTGGTCTTTCTCTGGTTGAGACGACCAATTCGTTCAACAACCATAATAAAGCTGCAGCATGGCTCCACCACGTAAAACTTGTTAACTTGTGGATTACCTAAAAATTTCACAAACTATATGAGTGCAATTCACGCGCGGTAGAACTAAAGCCTTCAGAAAAGTTAATACCGAGATAATAGGAAACACTGTATTCTGTATTTCATCTAATTGTGTGGTAGGCGAAATTCTATATATTTGTTTCTTTTTTAAGTGTCGCTTTTTTGTTTGGTCGAGTTTTGAATCACAACGATTCTTAAGAACCTTTTACTACGAATATACTAAGACATATTAAAATAGCATCTAGGGTGCAAAAGGAATTTAAAATTATCAAAATATTTACACGTACGTAAAAAAAAACAAATTCGAAAAGCCAAAATTCTAAGATGGATCATTAAGTTTCAATATTATTTTTTTAAATTATACCCTCTGCTGTTCTTGAGTTCTGAGATATTGAAGCAAATTGTATGCTGAAGCTTTATAAATATATCTTCAAGCCTGGCTCATTGCAAAACATATAATAAAATCGCTTCAAACCAACTGGATTTACCAGTATGCTCAATAATATCAAATTATAATGAAGGATCTGAAATGCCATTTGTATTTGTCGGGGATGAAGCTTTTCCACTTTTAAAAGATTTGATGAGACACTACAAGCAGAAACGTATCAATGAAAAAAAAAAAGATTCATAACAACCGCTTGAATGTACATTTGGCACTATGGCACATAAATGGCGAAGTTTTCACAGGCCGTTAAATACAAAATTTGTACTATGCGATTACATAGTAAAAGCGTGATGTATATTGCACAACTTCATACGAAAATATGGTGGCAAAAATTTAAAAAATTACCTGAATATTTGGGCCGATGGGATCATTCGGAACTTACATCCAATTAGACTTCGTCTTAGTAATGACGTCATGCAAAACGAAATTTATTTGCTGACTACATCTCGATCTGGTGCTTTAAATTGGCAGTACGATGCTATATAAATAACTAGTTGTAATTAAATTTAATAATTTTTGTGTATAGGTAAGTAAACATAACATTATTATGTATGTGTATAGCGATGCGGGCATGCCACACGGACTGTCTGCACTGATGGCACGCCGCGCATTACGCCGCGCAGCGCCCTGCATGCACCCTGCGTAACCGTCCGGGGCTCGCGCTCGCGTGTCAATAAAGTATCAGTGCATTAACAGCCAGCCGTTGTTTTACTCGTGTTGTCCCGAATCTAACAATAATGAAATTAAACGCAGCACATACCTTTGTTTTCTTCTCTGCCTATGATAAGATTGTCCATTCCCTGCACATATTCTGATATACCTCCTGCCAAAACCGGGCCTTAATGTTTCTGTCTTTGTATTGATTCAACAATTTTTCATATAATGCGAGCCTGTTTCTACTTCAATAATAATGTTTTTAGACACATTATCGTAGTCTACATACGTTGTGTCTGAGTGGGCCATAAGACATAGCCTCTGTACATTAGCACCGCAAAAAACGATTATCCTCTGCGCTCGCGATGGACATACGTTTCACAAGATGAATGGAAATCACTATTAAATTAGTAAATTTTCTTTTGAACTATCTCTTACAAAAAAAACTTTTTATAGAATAAGGATGACAAGCAAGCACACAGTTCACCTGGTGTGCTAGCATGGGCAGGAGATATTTTATCCCCGGGGAAAGGTCAAAATGTTTATCCCCTCGCTTAGTTTTAAACAACCTTCGAGCATGGGCACACCGGTTGATAAATGAATACTCGTTATGTCAAACGGGGATATACTTCTTCTTTAACCCACTGCCGTGATATGGCATAAGGGCAAGATAATTTTATCTCTTGTCAGTGGATATAATCGGGGGATAAATTTGTTTCCCCAGCCTATGCTAACCGTGTTGGTGGTAAGTGAAAGCCGTGGCCCACTCTCGTGACACACAACACATCTACATGGATCCTCGATTAAGATTCAAAATGATAATGCGTAGTTACCACTGCGGAATACACTTTTAGAGTTTATAAATCGATATAAACTCTACACATTGAACTGCGATTTCACGCCGCGTGGTCTTTCTCTGGTTGAGACGACCAATTCGTTCAACATCCATAATAAAGCTGCAGCATGGCTCCACCACGTAAAACTTGTTAACTTGTGGATTACCTAAAAATTTCACAAACTATATGAGTGCAATTCACGCGCGGTAGAACTAAAGCCTTCAGAAAAGATAATACCGAGATAATAGGAAACACTGTATTCTGTATTTTATCTCATTGTGTGGTAGGCTAAATCCTATATATTTGTTTCTTTTAAGTGTCGCTTTTTTATTTCGTCGAGTTTCAAATCACAACGATTCTTAAGAAATTTTAACTACAAAAATACTAAGACATATTAAAATGGCATCTAGGGTGCTAAAGGAATTTAAAATTATCAAAATATTTACTCGTACGTAAAAAAAAACAAATTCGAAAAGCCAAAATTTTAATATGGATCATTAAGTTTCAATATTTTTTAAATTATATCCTCTGCTGCTCCTGAGTTCTGAGATATTGAAGCAAAGTGCATTATGAAGCTTTATAAATATATCTTCAAGCCTGGCTCATTGCAAAACATATAATAAAAATCGCTTTACGGTAATTAATTATCTTTTATTTAAATATTATAGTCGAACATGCCGTTGCATTTAATCAAACAATAGGCTGGTAACATATCGGACAGCTTCCATAGTGAAGTCGATTGTAAAAGAAATCACAATACTGAAATAAATCGATAATGTATCCTTGGAAACGTACATTAATTCTTTGACAAGACGAGGTCGTCACATCACGTTCGGAAGCAAAAAAAAAACTATGGTACCTAATTACTCAACCAAGCATATCATAACTCTAATATACGTACTCGTTTATTATCTTTGCTTTAAAACAATTACGTCAGGCCGTATTCGTGAGATGATCAGGATTAGGTTCAGGTCAGGTATATAATGGGTCAATTCGTCTCAAAGATTCACAGTTTTGTTTGAGCTTCACATTTGGTAGTACCTTCTTAGCAACTCCCACGGATACCAAAATGAAACTGGTAAAATCTATTTTAAAGGATTTAAATCATTTTTTGAAATAATTTTTCTTGGATTTTCTGATTTAGCATTTTGCCAAATTTTAAGATCTGATGTTTTTATATACTACGTATTTCATTATTAATGTAATATAAAAGTATATTAGTTTATTGAAAAAAAAATAAGTTAATTTTTATAGAAATTTATTTATGTAAATTATAATACTGATATTTTTATACTATACAATTTAATATAAATAAAATTTAAATAAGTTTCCAAGCACAGTAATAAATAATAATTTAAATTTAAATGAGACTGGTTAAAGTGAGACAACAGAGGCTCTACAACTAATCAATATATTCCTTTCTCTCATGACAGGATAGTTGAGAACATTATTTCTCTCTTCAATCAATTATATTACTGCAACAAGGTTGTCGATATTCACACCTTTCAGACAATGTTTGATTACATAATGTAGGTTTAAATATACTTTTACTGATTTTTTTCATTGCATTAATGCTTGACAGCCTATCATTAGTGCAAAGATTCCCTCAAAGATTGCCCACAACCGCAACACATTAGCAAAAAATAATCAAATCCATTGGTATGATTAAAAAATTATATTTTTAGCAATACTCTCTAAATCAAAGAGGGCTACGGACTATGTATATTAACCAAAATGTTGAAATTTTCATTAGACTTACTTTTGAAATCGAATTTGTTCTCTGGCGGCCTCTCATCTAAGGGGTACCTCGTTTAGAGCCGGGGCGGGATCAGAGACAGCTGAACTGAGTAAGTGGCGCAAATATGAGTCTCTGAGAGATTACTACATATTTGTGCGATTTGCTGTAGAGACTATCGGTCCGTGGGGTCCACGTGCGGTGAAAATCCAAAAGGAACTTCATCCGTGGCTGATCATTGCTGCTGGTGATAAGAGGGCTGGTACTTTTCTCGCTCAAAGGTTAAGTATAGTAATTCAGCAGGGAAACGCCAGCCTTCTTTGCACGATAAAGCGGGGAGTAGCACTGTATTATAATTACTATTATAGTTACTAGTTTTAGTTTTTTTTTAATTATAGTTTTTAATATTGTATATAATGAAATAATTTATTTCAGTAAAGAAAATTGTACTATAATATATTGTATTTTAGGTCATTATTGCCGCTTTGATCGCCGTCTGCGCAGCTGGACGTCTCGAACATCTCGAACGCTCTTACCTACCTCCTGATAACACCAATACCCTAGGTTTTGGTTCCAATACCGGATCTCACAACGGTTTAGGATCCAATGAAGGCCAAGGAAACTTTGGATCTTTCCATTCGCATGGTGCTGGGCATGGCAGCATTGGATCACTAAGCCCTGCTAGGGGAAATAACAGAGGTTCCAACGGAGGTTCCAACGGAGGTTCTCATGGCAATTTTGGTTTCAATGGAGGGTCTAGAGGTTTTGGAGCCAATGATGGATCTGGATCAGACGGTCATGGGTTTGGTGCATCAAACGGTAACAGCTTCGGTGCTACATCAAACCAGTATCTGCCGCCTAACTACGGATCATCCAGCACTAACGGTCAAGACAGAGATGGACATTCGTCCGTCGGAGGTAAGTCTATAAAACGTTAATTTAATTTAATAATTTTAAGCTATATTTTCCTTTTTAATAATTAACTATCTAGAAGTGAACTTATGTAATTTTCTTATTTTTAACTGTCTTCCGTCCATTCATTTCTAAATATATGTATATAAATATCTTATTTCTTAAAAGAAGCTACTTAATTTCAATTGACAATAATATCACGTTGTGATGTATGTATGTGATGTTAATCGTTTGATAACAAAATTAAACTTTTAATAATAAGTAAAAAACAATTTTAGAGAACATAATTTCAATAAAATAATTTCTACAAATAGCTTTTGAAGTCAGTACTAAGACATAGTTTGTCGAAGAATAAGAGCTATTTAATAAATTTATATCGATTTACATTTGGCGAGGATATCGTATAATATAAATAAAAAATGTACTGATTATTAAAAAACTTAAGATACAAAAACTCAATGGCATTTCTTTTCAGCCACTTGTCTCTCCTGTAGCCGTAATCAAGTAACATCTACTACATGCTAACTCCCTAGTACTTTTCTTTCTCTACATTGAATCACTAAAATGGAAATCTTTTCAATTCACAGCATCCAGCAACCAGTTCGGAACATCGTCTATTGGAAACAATAACGAATTTGGAGCTCAGAGAACTTCTCAATTCCAGCACGGTCAGAACTCCCACTCGCAGTTTGGCCCCAGCAATCAATACCTGACACCTAAGCAGTCTTCGCACTTCCAGAACATTCCGCAGCAAAGCTTCGACGAGCAGACCGGCTACCATTATTAAAAAAAATATCCCTTCATGATTAATTAATAGTAGCTAAACATGATTGTGTTCTCTCAAAAATGTTTTTTATATGAATATATTTACTCTTTGTAATTTATTCGTCTTTTTAATTTACTTTATAAAAAATAACTTATGGCTCCGAAGCGTAGAGGTTATAAACTCTTTGAAATCCTGTACTGTAATGTAAATATTTGTATCAACTAAAAATATAATATATTTCAGTGCTCAAGTTCTGGATGTTTGTCTATATGCAATTCATATGATGTTGAATGGTTTTACGATCATATTTGACATACAAGTGAAACTCAATTAAAGAAACATAAAATTTTTATAGTACACTAACAGATTAGGTAATGTATTTCATATGATGAGTGTAAAGAACCGGAGACCTATTTTACTTGAAACGAGGCATTCCATCTTTGTCCTCAGTGGTGCCAATGCATCTGCATTTTGATTGTTAATTGAGAATAAATGTAGAGGTTTATGGACTACAGCATCCATTTGCCATCAGGTGGACTATTGCAGAAACGAGCAAATAGTCCACCTTAATTTTATATAAAAAATAGACTTCCTTTCCGTCTAGGAGTTTGTCAGGGTGGTTAATACCCTCTTACCGCTTTCTGCCGGCTAGGAGCAGTGGGTGCACAGCAAAGTTCCAGTATGAAGAATGAAGGGTATGGAGAGTAAGTATAATTGCAGGTTGAGAGTCATTCCATCTAGATCCCCAATGGTATCTACATCTCTGTATCCTTATATGTCTAAAGATGGTTGCAGGTGTCCATGTACTAGATATTCATATATTCCCACTACAAAGTATTAAAATGAATAAATATTTATATATAATTATAGACTATTATAAGTTGTACCTACACTTGAAGTAGTGCTCTTAAGGAGTTGAGTTTTGTGGATTCCATCGTTTCTCTTGGAACTACTAATGACGCGCAGCTCAAATGGGCCCCCATTTAAATTAGCAAGCAGACTGCAGAAACCCCTCTCAACATGTGGACTCGATTGCACAGGCCTCCTCAGGACAAAAAAAAATCTTAAATGTCCTCCGCCTGTTATCATTCAGGACTAGCCTGGGATCGTATCTCCCAGGTCATGGCTAATAAGAAAATTGGTTTTACTAAAGCCAAGCACTCCGGTCAGGGCAATATGTTCTCGGCCAATACGATCGAAGATTATAAGACCCTCACCAAGCTTCTTAGGGGTAAGATGAAAATCCCTTACCACATCTCCCTTAAGGAGGAAAAACGTCTCCGCGTTGTGATTCGCGGAATTCCCAAAGAATTTGAGACTTCCTTTGTAAAGGAGGACCTCATGCGGCAGGGCCTTTCTGTGCAAGAGGAGTATCGTATAGTCAATAACACCAGCACTCCTTATATTGTCAAGACAGTGCCACATATGTCAGCTCTAGGGTCACTCAGCTCGAAACTGTTTCGCCTGTTAATCCATGAGTGGACCCGCAGTGCCTCAGCCCCTTTAGCTGTGTGCTTTGCGGAGTGGAGCGTTACATTGTGAACTTTCCCCCGGCTTGTCCCGGCTCCACCCCCAAGTGAAGCGCTTGGGCGAAGCCGTTAACATGGTTAGTGTGGCACCTGAACAGGTGTCTTCACAGCTGCCCGCGATCCGCGAAAGGGAGGAGTTGAGAGCTAAACCGGCCATAAAGTCCACCTCCTCCCCGGTCTTGGAAGATCTAAGGTCGGGGTTCGTTAATCTTTAACCTCGTCTGTGATTTCTTAGACAGTTTTAATGTTAATGAGTTGCGCACTCTAGCGCATAAAATTAGGACAGCACACTCTGCCAAAGAGCGCCTCCAGACATCCCTGGTTCACATGAAAGTAATAGAAGCGATCAAGCACTTCAGAGCTAACTCAGTTTGAATCGCTTGATGAATGTGAATTTGGCTCATTTTTATACTGCTAAATGGATAATACACCAACAACTAGAATAAAATCTAGTTCGATAGCTGTCGTCTATTATAATGCATACGACCTTAAAGATCAGACTGACAAATGCCGAACCTTTCTCACTGACCATCAGATAGACATTCTACTCGTGCAGAAGACTACTCACAAGCCAAGCATTAGAGGTCCCAAAATAGCCAACTATAGATTAGTTAGGAATTACCAAAAGGGTTTAGGTTACGAGGGACACTTATTCTTTATGTTTTTCCCTACATGTCGTACCATCGATACGCCTCAATTGATTTAGAGGCCTCCGTTTGCAGAGTAGCCATGACCAGTCATCATCTAATCATGGTAGCCTCTGTATATCTCTCACTCAATAAAAAGTGTTCACGGGCGACTTTAAGGCACTATTTAATCTTAGCAATTCAATTATTTTCGTAAAACAATACTTGTGGTAAAGACCTACTAGCTCTCAATGCTAATCTCAATTTCATTATAATAGCTCCTCCTGAACATATTCAAAATTCATTCAGGATATTCAATGATTTCTTCTCATGGCTCGTCCAGAATTGACTTGGCTGTCTTCAGGAACGTGTCTTTACCATTACGCTTTATAGAAGAGATGCATGAGTTAAGGTCAGACCATAACCCGGTCCCCATGACATTGAGTCAGCCCAGCAGTGAGGTTGTTCTACAAACCAAAACTATGACAGACTGACATAGATTCGAGGCTAACCTCGAATCTATGAACTCAGAACATTTAGATCAAGTGCCAGACGTTATTGACACCAAAGAGACGGTTTTAGAAGCCATCTCACATTTCACATCTCATATTAAGGTGGATGCCGGAGAATCCTTGAGACAGGTCAGTACGACGAGCGTTCGTCATTTTTAACTCCCCAAGGATATGCGACTACTACTGAGGTTGCGCTGCGGTTAGGACCGTTATAGAACCATCAATAATAGGTCCAATTTGCGTCACCTCTGTAGAGAGGTCAAGGAGCGCACGACCCAGCTGAGGGTTGTTGTTACACGTTGGGACAGACTGATGGAAGACATCTCGCCTTCATATACGTCCGATGCCTCCATTAGTTAGACCTGAAGGCCAGTTCGCGGTTGATGACGGAAAAGGCCAAATTAATAACAGATAGCATCGAAAGCCAATGCTCTCTCAGCACTCTGCCTGTCGACCCCGTCCACCTGAATAAGGTGGAAGAAGAAGCAGCTAATTTATCCACCACATCACCAACGGATGATCCTCTCCCTCCCGTTACCTTCGATGAGATCAAAACCATTAACAAAAATCTCAAGGCTCAGAAAGCACCAGGCGCTTAAAGCCTTAGCTTTCAAATTGATCTCCCTTCTAGTGACTTATCGTCATTAGAAGGCAGATCGACGTATTTTGAATGTTCTATTATCTACCTGCACTTTTCCAGACGTGTAAAAAAAAGCAGATATCCTCGGTTTTCACAAGCCGAATAAACCGAGAGATAGGGTTTTAAGTTATAAGCCCGTCAGTCTCCTCAGTGCCATGGGGAAATCTATGAGCGCATCATCCCCGGCTGTCTGAAGGATGTAGTAATAGACAAAAATTTTATTCCTAACGAGCTGTTTGGCTTTCGAGCCAAATACTCATGTATTCAACAGTTGCATCGACTCACGGAGCACATCTTAGATTATGCCGCAAATTTGAACAGGCACAAACAGGTGCTCTGTTCTTTGATGTTGCTTCGACAAGTCTGACACATTAGATTAGCTTATAAACTTTTACAAATAGGTGTGCTTAAAACACTTGTCAAAGTCATACAGGATTTTTTGTGCAATTATTCCTTCCGTCTTCGCGTCGAGTGGACCTTTTCTTCATCCAGACCCATCAGAGTAAGTGTTCCCCAGAGCTCTGTAACCTGTGTAAGTGTTCTCCCTAACTCTCTACGCACTCTAAGTGAGTGATATCCCTATTATACCCGATACTCATTTTGCACGATGTGATAACAATTTATTCGTCAGATAATAGCTCATTCAGAGTCTGTATTCGACTACAAACTAGTTAATAAATCTTTTTATTCGGTTAGCGAGTTGTTGGAAAAACAATAATTATCTTAAATTTTTTTTAAATAATAATATTTTGGTAATTATATATTATAATGTGACATGAAATTAAAAATATTAATGATATGATAATGCAAATTGTTACGGCCTACGGCTGCTCCCTTAAAGGATCCAATCTTCAGGGGCCCATGAGCTGAAGATTTCCCGAACAGACGTAGGTCGGGCCCCAATGTGGCCACGTGGAAATTCCTAATTACATTAAAATATATGGGGGAGCGTTATACTACGGCCAGTCGACCGGAAGGAATTTGGATGAAGCTTACTTACCTATCCAAGGCGACTGGTCCCTCCGGAGTCGGTCAGGTCGCATGTGGTTGTGTAGTGCAAGGGAAGGAATGGTGATGTGGTGTGTATCTGGGTGTGACTGATGGTGATTGAACCTAGACCTTGGCCGTCGGCAGCAGCCCGAGCGTCGACACCGCTCCAACTTGAGGGCGCCTTTCGAGGTAGTCCACAGTCACTTTCTTCTTTCGTCACGTTGCCAGTCAATTAACTCTATCGTACGATTTACTAACTTACAGAAGCCACTAACTATCGCTGGGTATAATGGTTACCGCACAAACGCACACGGAGTTTAAAGGGTCAAAGGTCACTACCGTTTCGCGTAGCAATAGCTAATTCTAGAATATCAGAGGCAGCACTATCTAATATTGCCGAATGCACTTATGCAGGTTTTGAGTCAGACACAATAAGTCCCGGGAAGCTCTCCAGTAGGAATGCGCGTCACAATGATAGACCGTATATTTACTGGCCGCGCCGAATTATTCCGAGTTCCCTAACAGAATGGACCGCGTGCTCACGTCAGCACCGATTATGGACGACTGCCTGCCCTTGGGCGTTTTTCGCACGACCGAAAGTCAAACCGGTATGAATGCACCGCGCCGAGCGCCCTCTCGCGTCAATCCTTGAAAGTGTTTTGCGCGAACAAACCCCCGTCCCGGACATAAGGATTTAGGTCCGCGAGCAAACCGGTCAGCGGGA